GCTGAAAGAGGCCACTCCCATTAGGGAATACCATTCCCATGTAGGGGTGTACTTGGTCTGCAACAGTGTTTAGGTAAGTGGTATGTCTCAAGTTACAGCCAACTGAATGGCAGGACCCAAGGTTTCCCAGCAAGACATTGCTCAAAGCATCACACTGCCTCTGCCGACTTGCCTTCCTCCCACAGTGCATCCTGATGCTGCTCTTCCCCAGGCAAGCAATGCACAGCTGTCCTTCACTGCTCCGTGGTCCAGTTCTAATGCTCACGTGCATGTTGTAGGCACTTTCAGTGGTGTACAGGTGTCAGCATGGAGCACTCTGACCAGTCTGCAGCTACACAGCCCCATATTCAGTGGGCTGTGATGCAGTATTTTGACACCTTTCTCTCAGAACCAGCAAGATGACAATGACATCCACCTAAATATGCATATTCCACAAAACGGGTAGTCTGTGTATATTGGTCTTATTCATCTTATAACCTAGTTATGATTACTACTTTTGTGCATTTGTTTTACCTCATCTGATGGCTTGCAGCACACCAAAGGTTTGTAACAGTACAAAACACTCCTTTCTCTTTTTATGGTTATGAACTAAGTTTATGCAGTTGGATGTAGTATCTTGTGTTTTTGTTGTCTCAGTAAATGGGTTAATGCTGATTTATCGATGTGTAAACTATTTCAGTACGCCCATTTTGTTACAAGATAATCACACTTACTGAGTCACAAGCCAATATGAAATAGTCACACGTTTGTTCATGTCACGAGCAGACAAAGGTTAACAGCCTGAAAATAGCTTTGACTTTATGTTGCTTAAAACTTTCATTGTAACTTTCTCACGCTGTTACTGTGCAGTAGGAAGCAGGTTTTCTTAGTTCACGACAGGCTCACGGTCGGAACAAGGTGGCTAACCTGTTAGCTAGTTGCCGTGTAATGCGATAATATAAGTAAAGGAACATGTCTGTGCAGATGAGTAAAGGAAAACACAAGGCCTTACAGCCAGCGAACTGTTTTGATGGATAGGTTCGACACCCGCCAGCAAACACAATGACCAAAAGGATACAAAGTACACCGAGAGGAAAATAAGCGCACAACAGTCCACGAGTGCCAAAATAAACACCGCCGCCTCCATTTTTCTTCTTCCGTCACTATTTTGATTTCATATCCGGTCTGGTGTCTTCTTCTTCTTCTTCTTTTTCTTCTTCTTCTTATCATTCAGTGATTTTGTTACTGCCCTCTACAGGATATAAGTCTACAATTTATTCCTTCGATCGCATTTCATATTTTTGTGTATAGACCGTATCATGCAGAAGCTGTAGCCTATAAGTGTTTTTGTAATCAGCTTGTGGTTCTCATTTTGGCCAAAAACAGATTTAAGAAAAAAAACAAAAACAAATAATTCCTAGATCTGCTTGTCTTTCAGTGTTATAGTCTTATTACTACACTCATAAATCATAAAGCATGCCTGATTATTTTTCCACAGTCATACACCTCAGACTTCTGTTACTTCTTTAAAAACATTTTGGGGGGGGACTTGTGATCACAAGAAGGAGAAGAATATGATATATTTGATAATAAACCTTCGTTTTCTAATGGCAAAATGTAATATTTGTAAGTGTAACTATAACAAGGGCCAAGCTGCGGTGGTGGCTGTTTTGATAAATGACATAGTTGTAAACTTTTGAGACTTTTCCTCCTTATGGAGGGTGTCAATGATGGTCATCTGCACAACCGTCAAGTCAGCAGTCTTCCCCATGATTCTGAAGCCTACTAAGCCAGACTGAGACAATTTCAAGGCTGAGGAAACCTTTGCAGGTGTTTTGCATTAATTAGCTGACTAGATTGGGACACAGGGAGCCTACAATGTTGAACTTTGTCATGATATTCTAATTTTGTGTGCTTCTCACATTTTCAATCTCCGCAGTTCATTTGAGACTGCAACCAGACCAGTTTAACCCTGATCTCTTATCTGCCTGCTCTGCAGCTCTGTTTTTTATCAGAACAAACCTTTTCTGCTCACTGTGGCATTTGCTGCTGTGTTTTCATGGGAGCAGAACAGAACCCAAATTGCTACAGCCAACTTGAAGTATAGGCTTTGAAGAGGAGATTAACAGAAATACTGTACCTGACAACACATAGAGCCATTAATTACCTAATGGTACAGCTTCCTCTATCAGAGGAGGTCTGAAGGCTTCCCGGCAAGCCACCACACAACTCTCAGCTAACTCATTACATCCTTTTTGCCAGCAGGGAAAAAAAATTAATAAGGCTCAGCTGCACTGAGTTGACTGAGTCGACAGGAGGGAAACTGAACAAGGGGAAAACTAAGACAAAATAAAATGCAAAGTGGAACTAGAATAGATTCTAAAAGAGGCATAAACTCTGTCCTAATATACAGTTAATAAAAGTATCTTGGTAGCTTCAACTTGAGCTGAACAGATGTTGGAACCAGAAAAGGGAGAATGGAAGGTTTTGGAGGAGGCAAGGCCCAGATTTGCACTCACAGCAATCACAGGCAGCATTTTTCCCATCTGCGTCTCAACTCTCTGGGTCACAAAGAGCAAAAGAACAATGGAATTCAATGGACATTAGCCATTATGGTGGGAATGCCAATCCCACGCACAC